GGTTCCTTCAAGGAGGTGGTACTGAGGTGAGGCTCTGAGGATGGGATGGAGGCAGAGGGAGAGGGGTTCCGGCAGAAGGAGAGACCCCTGAGGTGCAGGATGGGGAGGGGGAGCCCAGACAATGAAGGCGCTGGGCAGGGCCAGGCCGCACAGGGACTTTCACGGCCAACCAAGATGGCAGCCTGGCTCTGCCCGGCCCTCCTCACCGTCCTCCCTGAGGCCCAGGACTGGAAGGACCCGGCTGGAGGGAGAGTCCCCCTCAAGAGGACAGCAGCAGGTCACCTGGGTCTCTTCCCCAGGCCCCAGCGCCAGGACAGACCCAGCGCCGTGGTGGCCCTGGTCCCCCCCCAGCCCGCACCCCCCTCCCCGGCCATACTCGCTCCTTCCTCGTCCCTCCCCGCGGCCAGCCCTCTCCAAGCGCCTGTTTTTCCAGAAATCCGAGTGGAGCCCCACAGCCCCCCCCTGAACTTGACTCTGAAATAACAGCCCAGAGCTGTCGCGGGGAGCCTCCCGGCCTGGCCGGCCGCGCTGGGTTTGCTAAAATAATAATCGGGAGGAACGCGAGTCTCTCGGAGCCAAGCGCCTTGCATAAGAGGGTCAGCCTCCGCCCGCTCCTGACCCAGAAAACCGGGCCCGCCCCAGGGTGAAGTCACTGGGTTTTGTGCTGTTCCTTTGCTTTCTCCTTCTTCTTTTTTTTTTTTTTAAAGACGCAAGGTCCAGAGCAGCTGGGTGGCAGGTTCCTGGAGATGGCTTTCAAGCATGGCGCTGTGGTCACAGTTGCCTTTGGAGGAAGAGGGGAGTAACGGGGCCAGAGGCTTGCTTGGAAGGTGCGTCCATTTGCCCATTGGGTCCCTACTTGGTGCAGGGCCAGAGGAACAGGAAGGATGTGGGCCCCTTTTCTCAAGGGGGATTATGTGAAAAGTGGACTCGGTGGGCTTGGAGTCCACTGAGACCCCAGTATCTAGCAGAACGGTGAGAAGCCCCCAGCACACATCTGCCCAGGAACACGTGGTTGGCTCTGC